ATATATATATGAGAGGAGGGATCAAATGACTTTAAGAGTAACTCTTGCCTAAGTTACTTTATTTAATAATTCATGATTTATGTTGAATTTTGAATAATTCGACCTTAAATCAATATATAAAATATTTTTATAATTATCTGTCAATTTGAATTAATAAAATGAAGTACTAAAAAATTTTAAAATTTGTAGACTTGGATACATGCATTAAGAACTTTTAATTTAAGGATTGAATCGTTGAAATTCCACATAAATCATGAGTTATTGAGTAAAATAACTTAATCAAAAGTTACTCTTAGAGTCATTTGATCCCTCTCTCTCTCTCTCCATATATATATATATATGCATGTATATATATATAAAACGAGGAATCCATTTACTTGTAAGTTTACTCTATTTAATAACTCATGTTTTATATCAAATTTTAATGATTTAACTGATGAATTTAAAGTTCTTAATGTATAGATCAAGTCTACAAATTTTTAAAAACTTTGAAAATCATTTGATATTTTATTTCGTTACTTCATATTGATGGATAATCATAAAAGTATTTTAAATGTTGATTTGAATTAATGAAATAAGGTATCAAATAGTTTTTAGATTTTTAAAAAATTTGTAGACTCAATCTATACATTAAAAACTTTTAATTCAATGAACGGATAGTTAAAATGTGATATAGAATATAAGTTATTGAATGGAATACATCTACGTAGTATTATTCCTAGATAAATATATAGATCTCTCCCCTCTCTCTCTCTCTCTCTCTCTCTCTCTAGTATAATCTAGCTTTTTCAACATGGACTGACAGTCTAACATTTTTGAGAAATAAAACAATTATATATATATATATATATATATATATATATATATCAAGGGAGTCACGATTTGTTGACACCATTTGTAAGTTTAAAAACTTACACCAAATCTTATATCTTTAATAACATTCTATATAATACAAATTGAATATCGATGAAATCATTAAATTATATGATATTATACTTAAAGATCATGTATATCAAATTTCATATAATTAAAAAATTATTTAATAGTTCATCACATTACTTTATTTTAAGGTATAATATAATATTTAAATTATATGTAAATATCTATTCTTGGATAATACATATAGAAAAGTACAAATCATATTAAATTTGATATACATGATTATGAATACAAAATTACATAGTTCAATAATTAGATTTGTTAAATTTGCATTATTAAAAAAAGTATTAACACGACAATCATGTCAGTAGCCACATTAGCTGCCACATCATCAGCTAATTTAATACTACAGTCACATGGAAACTTCTTTTGTTTTTGTTGTAAATTATGTTTATAGGTGGTCAACATTTTGATTAGGGACGAAATGGATTTAGGAGAAGAAAACTACTGAATAAAAACATATTCATCTCTTAAAATTACAATAGTTAGATAAATATCATAGAGAAAGAGGGTGAAACCTGTAAAATGCTTTGTCTCAGAATATAGGTGGCTCGGCAACTTATTCCCATTTGAATTAAATGGCATCCCAACAATTTTTGTGACCCTGAAGTGTGCGCATGTTTATTGCATTCAATTAATGTAGAAGCATCAATATTTGACATTTTTGAGGTAGTTGTAGTTGATTCTAAATCTTCAAAATTTGTGGCATATAAGGCATCTATAATATTTTTTGTTTCTCGAGTTAGTTGAAGTTTTGAGTCACACTCTATGCAAAGACTTTCAAGCTTTGGAAGGTCCTCTAAAATATATGATAGATGATGAGAATTGATATTTGGCACATCTAAAGAAACAAGAGATGACATTCCTCCAGATGTTTGAATGCAGGATGAGAGACTATTGGTTGGTGACATCCAAGACCAAATGATAGAAGGAAACACATCACGTGAGAATCCTTCATAACCACACAAAGAAATATACCCAATGCTTTTTGACCTTACAATTGAAAAAGGCATTCTTTTTATTGCAGTCTTATCCGCAACAAGGATTGTCAAAGACTCCATTTGTTCCAAGTCTTCTTCCAACTTGTCAATCTTTGAACATCCTGAAAGAATGAGTGTTTTAAGGGTTTTCAATTTATAAATACTCCTTGGAAGGTTGCGAAGACTAATACAATCTTGCAAATTTATTTGAAGAATTTGATTGAGATGTCCAATGGTATGAGAAATCTTAGACAATTTTGGACAATCTATGAGTTCTAACTTTTCGAGACTAGGCAATTTTGAAAAGTCTGGAGTCTGAGCTAAGTAATGGGAATGACTGAGATTGAGAATTTTAAGTTTCTCCATCCGCTGCAAGAAAAAAAATACCATATAAAAAAATTAGCAATAAAGTTTTAAAAAATAAATGGAAGTAATTACAATTGTATATGTTATAAACCTTCCATGTTAGAATGTAGTATTCATTTTTCTATTTCACGAACGTACACATATATATGATTCATTTTACTTTTGCTTCTCAAATAGGCATATTTTATGTATATATATTTGACTTATAAACACATGCTAGTATTTAATTATAAGCCTTGTAATATTACGTAAGTCATATTTATAGGGGAAAAAATGTATAGACATAATAAATTATTAAAAGTTGTTTACAGAAATTTTACATAAAGTTTAATATTTTTTTTTTGGAGGATATATATGTTTTAAAAACAACATTCATAGTTTCAGTAATCAATTAATAAAAATTGTAATTCTTACCTCTCCCTTATTTTTATTATATTAAAGTCAATGCACAAAACTTAGGTGGTCTTATAAGCTTTGTGTGTTTGGAGCTAAAAAGGAGATTCCATGTATATTCATAACAAATAAAATTTATTGGATTATATAATCTACAATAAATTAAATTTTGACTTGTATCATTGGAAGACTTTAGATAAGATCTTTTATAAAAAGTAAAAAAAAAAAAAATCTTTAATCAACCTTTATTAGCATCACCTTAAATGCAAAATTGACACTAGATGTTCACTATAGGACTTTGTGGTTTAACATTAACAACACTAAAATATCATATATTTTTTTAGTTATGTATGAATAAATTTCACATTCAAAGTGAATCAAGTTTAAACATTTTTTTCCTATAGACTAAATTTTTCGGCTAAAAATGTTAATTACATTCTTAACTTTAGAATAGTTACGGGAACAAATTCCTCAATAATAAATAATATTCATGATAACTTGATTATAAGGTAAACTTAATTGAATGTATTTACAATGTAAAAAATGGAAAAAGCACGTACAAAATTTGTGTCTATAAGTATGAAATAGTAAAATAGATATTTATTATTTCAGAATATTTAATACCTGAGCTTCTTTCCACACAAGTTGAACATTACTATTTTGTAACTCAATTGAAATAAGATTTCTTTGATAGAAGTTTGTTGGTATATATTTTAAAGGAAATCCATGCCAACAAAGCCACCTAAGATCTTTGGAAAGATATTTGAAATCTCCATCAAGTCGTACACCAGCAAGTTGAAGCAACTTAAGTTTCTCCATCTTTTTAAAAGCTTTAGTGCTCAAACATGTTGCATTATTTGTTGATAACCTCAAAGCCAATCCCTCAATAGCTTTTGTTCCCTATGAAATAAAATGGAATAAATGGTCAAAATATGCATAGCTTAAATATATGTGCTAGCTAAAACTTTCATGAGAAAATTCATCAATTGTTTTAAGAGCTAGGAAAAAAAAACAATTCACATCTAAACTATTTTTCAACTCAATTTGTATATTTCTTCCTTTAGCTATAGATACTTTAAATCCAAAATGCATAAACATCTTACCGTTTGTTTTGATAATACATCAAGCGCATCCTCATGAAACCATAACCTGCTACGCTTCTCAAGAACCTTTGGTGAATTTGCACGAATAATTTCCCTTCCCATGTCCCGTAACAAATCATGCATTTGAAGCTTGTTTTTATTATCAATTGTTATAAGGCTTCGCTCTACAAGGACACGTATTCCATTTTCTGCGAAAAGTCCACAATCATTTAATATTTGTATAACTTCATTCCGGTCCATGCCAACAAAGAAACAAGCTATATCGAGGAATATATTTCTCTCGGTATCATCATTTAAACCATCATAGCTTATTTGTAACTTCTTTTGTACTTGATGATTAGGAATTCTCTTGAGTTTCTTCAATACAATCTCCCACTCTACTACCTTCATATCAAACAAATAACACCCAAGAACTTCAAGGGCTAGTGGTAATCCCCCGGAATACGTAATTACATTTCTAGAAAGTTGGGTAAAATTTTCTCTAGGACTTGCTTGCTTGAATGCGTGCCAACTAAAAAGCTCAATGGATTCACCTTCATCCATGCCTTTCATTGTATATAATATGTCAGCTCTCCCTCTAAGTACATCTTGATCTCTAGTGGTGATGATTATTCTACTACCTGGACCAAACCATTTGTCACTTCCACATAAAGCATTTAGTTGGTCCAATTCATTCACATCATCCAATACAAGAAGTACCTTTTTATAGTAAAGTCTTTCTTTTAATATATTTTTTCCTGATTCAACATTACGTATCCTTGTTTTTGTTTCTTTGTTGATATCAAACAGAAGTTGTTCTTGTAAATTGACTTTGCCAGTGTCTTGCCTCCAAACTTCCCTGATATTTGCAAGGAAGCTCCTTCCCTCAAAATTCCGGCCAATCTTATTGTAAATGGCTTTAGCAATGGTTGTTTTACCAATGCCTCCCATCCCCCACATCCCTAGTAGTAAAACATCATTTGATGGTTTTTGGTCTACCAAATGAATAATTTCTTGCACTCGAGGTTCTACTCCCACTGGATTATTGGCAACAAACAACTCTGTCTTGTCTAACAAATGTGTGACATTTTCAACAATGTTTTTGATAGACTCACTTTCATTCCTATATAAAAAATGAAAAAATAAAAAATAACAAAGAGAAAGTACATTAAATATGACCTGTGTGTATCAACAACGTTTTTGATACTCACTTTCATTCACAATTTCACTTGATTACTTGTGTGGTTCATGGATCTTTGAAATATATGACCTATGAAGTGCTTTAAATACAACCTCCGAGTAAATTGTGTTGAAGTATTAAAGAAATGATGAGTATTAATTTGATGAAAAAAGGTGAGAAGGAAGGAAGTGTGAATTAAGTAACCTGGAATCGAGGACTACAACTCCTGATATGCCAGCAGCCTCACGAAGTGCCTCCCTCCAACGCATCCAACGTAGTTTATTAAACCGCAGATGCTCTTTTTCCCATATATTGAACTGTTCTTCAACTTCTTCTACACCTTTTAAAATCCTGTTCTCAAGTTTTTCCAATTCTTTTCCAAACTCGCCTTTTTGATGGCGCACTTCAGAGGGATCAACATCATAGAACACTGGCAAAACAACCAGCCCTGTGGTTCTGTGACACTCCATTATTGTATCTAACTCATCCAAACACCACAGAGACCCTGCATAATTTCTTGAGAATACAACAACACTAATTTCAGACTGTTCAATTGCTCGCAGCAATGTGTCTGAAATGTGATGTCCCCTTGGAAGTGACTCATCATCCTTGAAAACATTGATTCCAGCATTCCGAAGAGAGGCATAGAGATGTGAAACGAAAGAACCACGTGTGTCCTCCCCTCTGAAGCTCAAGAACACTTCATGGATTCTGCTATAAGCTCTACTATTTTCCGCAGGCTCAGGCGTAAACTCGGCCTCATCAATCTCAAATTTGGGAATGAGAATAGAGTAACCGGAGGCAAAAATGGAAGACATGAAAGAAAATTGTGGCCTCACAAAGCTGATGAACAAGAAACAAGACAAGGAGAAACCATTCACGACTAATATCCCTAAGCTTAAAAATAATATTTTAATTGCTAACAATACATGTGAAAACAGTTGTTGAGGCTAAAAGACCACCAAATAATGGGGTGCGTTCCAATGGAATTTATTATTATTTTTATTTTGTTTCAGGGAAGAAAATGTGCTGACTAGTTGGCCAAGATGGGTGTTTTGATAGTGTAGTTATTTCTGTCCCTGGTTTACCCAAGAGCTATATATACACCGTCCCTTCTTTTTTAAAGAAAATTACTACTCAACTATGTGATACCACCAAGTATATATTTTCAGACTCTCCAAACATTACAAATTGTCGATCACAATATAATATTGGACTTTTATTCTTTTAAAGTATTATTTTTTAACAAGTTACTACAGTCTTATCAACTCATAAATATTGAAGGTTACAAGCTTTTAACTTACTAGAATGAGGATATAAAAGTTACAAAATATTTTGAACTACTTAACTCTCACTAATACATTACAGAAAAATAAAGAAATTGTCCAACAGAGACCATCCATGCAAGATAACTTAGAATGATAGCTTTTCTTGGTCTCAAGAGAATCACACTTCATGATCTTTTTAATTATTGCATCCTGAGTCTTCTTTATCGAGACACTGAAAAAGATAAAACTAGAGACAGATGTTGCAGGAGGACAAATAGTTTGTTGCAAGAACTAGTGTGGACGATATTTTCTATGTGGATTAAAATGAACTTTATGTCAATTATTGTCACACTTTCTATGTCGGTTATTGTAACGATCGACGGGTGGATTAAAATGAACTTCATGTCGATTATTGTCACATTTTCCATGTCGGTTATTGTATCACATCGACGTAAAATGTATTTTTTATATTCCATTTGTTTTTTTTTAGGTTTGTTTATAGAGTATACACTAATCTCCTCGCTACGTCAGAAGTCAAAGATATCTCATTTGTTTTATCGTTTCCCTTCATGTAAATCTTTCAATTAATCTCAGTGTATGGTTGTCCTAGGCATGATCTTGCTGATCCATCGGATTAGGCAAATGCAGCAGTTGCATAACTGTATTCGGTGCAAGCATATCTTTGGCGAAGCCAATGAAGTGGCTGTGGTTGAAAAAATCATGGCCAAAAGAGAAAGAATAGAATTTGGCATTTTGGATTTGGGAACCGATGAGAATCTAACGCAGACCACATCAGCAGGACC